CCCCCAGCATGGTGCCGAACCAATGGAAGTGTTGGCAATTTCCCTCGAGATTGGCCTGGCGCCGCAAACCGCGTGAACGTCTACACCCTTCCAACTTCCATTTTCCTCCCAGTTTCACCGCCTTTATGTTACCTTCTTCTGCCAGCGCCATCAGATTAATGAGGCTGCGTAGCTCCTCTCGGAGTTCATGCCTGATGTCGTAAACTTCCTCACTCAACGCGGGATGACCATCTCGGCAGCCAAGTCGTCCGTCACTGTTTTCACGCTGGACCCGAAGAAGTTCTGTCGTCACCCGACCACCACTGTCAACGGTGCGTCCTTACCACTCGTGCGTAAGCCCAAGATCCTTGGCGTTCGTTTCAGTCCGCCCTTCACGTTCGCGGACTATGCCAGGCAGATCGCAGGCAAAGTTGGCCGCTGCACCAATGTCCTCAAGGCTCTTCCGGACACATCCTGGGGCTGCGCGAAAGAGACGCTCACAACCATACTCCAAGCGCTGGCCAAGCCGCACGTCACTTATGCTGAATCAATATGATCTCCTACGATCAGCTTTTCCAGCTTTCGCCGCATTCTATCAGCGTAGAATGCCTCTCTCCGCTCAATTAAGGTTTGCTATAAAAAGTCGCCTATCGATCTCCTTCAAGCGGAGGCCTATATCCTGCCGATCGCCCCACACAACGTACCCTTAGGGCAGCCATTCTGGTGGACCTGTCCGCGACCCGGCCATCCTAATAACCATCGCTGCCACGTTTCTCTATTCGAGCTCTCTACAAGGAAGGTGTCGTCTCGTTTCTCTCGGATCTACCCGTTGATGCCTCTGCAATCATGACAGGCTTCCAGCGCCTTCACCAGAGAGCCGTTGTCGAAGCCAAACTACGCTACCATCCCACGGTCGATTTGGGCGGTTATCCACCTCCGATTGCGGCCTTGGAACAACAACTTTCGAGGCTCATTCGCTGTACCTTGGTTCAACTACGCAGTGGCCACTCAAAACTCCTCTGGCAGTACCAACACCGGCTCGACCCGTCCACTTTTGACAGTTGTCCCAATTGCGGCGTCTCCTCGCATGACTATTAACATCCTTTCGTCCGTAGGTCCCAGCCAAGCACCCAACTCACCCCTGTGGACCTCTAGTTCATGCCGGTCGAGGTTGCGGCATTTCTCTGTTTTTCAATTACAACCATTCTGGACTCTGGCGAGGATTCTTGATGCAACAAGAGCTACTGACAGTTCCCCCGTCGATTTAGACGATTGGCACCGCGTGCTCCAACAGCCGCAGCAGACGCTGAAGCAAGCCG